GGATGAGACTGGTGATACATCTAGTTTTGTGAGTTGAGAATCCCCTAGGGTCTTACCTTCTCCAGTATGAGAAAACGTTTTGTTATTGTTGTTGTTGTTGTTTTGTGTTTTTTCTTGTTTTGTTTTTTGTTTTTTTTTTGTTTTGTTTTGTTTTGTTTTTTTTGCAGTAACCAAACTATGGCATGTAAGCCAGTCTTATTAATTGCACTTTAATGTATTTTAATTCTACTGGTTCTGTTCTTCTAGTGAAGCATGACCAATACAGACACTAACTGATATCTTTCTAAAAAATAACATTTTTAGAGAAATATTTATTGGCCATTTAAAGTATTTCTAAAATAAACAGTAATTTTTCATTTGAATATTGAACATCATAGTACTCTTTGTCTCAAGATTAAGCTATTCCAATGACAGATAAGAAAGAAGAAAAATAGTGTTATTGAATGAATACATTTCATAAAAATTAGTAGATTATAAAACAAAGGCAGTCTTCAAAGGAGACATTTAATACTTTCCATACAAAGCTAAAACCAGCTGCTCGTGGTCTGAAAGGTCAAACAATTTTACATATTTTTCTTTGCACAGTTCTCACAAATGACCTTAATCCTCTTTAATAAGGTGACTTTGAACACTCCTTTTTGTTATTCTAATGTATTACTAGAAGGCACAGTATCCAAAATTCAAATAATAAACTTATTTTAACAGTCATGAGATTTGAGCATTCTTATTATGCCATGGAACTTTCACATTCTAACCTAAAGTTGACAAAAGTAAGGTGAAGTCAGTTCTTCAAAAATACTGTAAGACAGTCTTACAGAATTGCCAAAGATGCCATCCCAGGATTCCAAGCAGCGTCACGTAGGAACATAGTTTAGTTTGGTGAAAAATCTAATGTCAAATGCAATCAGAGTAAGAGCAGTCTTTGTCTCTGCGATTAATAACTCTACGTTGCCACTGCCTCAGTAGGACAGGTTTGTTGCCATTGCTGTTCAGTGGTCTATGGGATGAGAAGTTTCTGGTGTTCCTCCATAAAATATATCAACATTATTTCCTTAATTACTGTTTTTATTAGCTAATAATTTTTTCCTAAATCATGCAAACATGTTTCTATTACTGACAATATTCCCTTTTGAGATCACAGATTCAGAAGCATTCTCTTGTCAGCCAGACTTCCTCTTTGTTATGGTGTACAGCTACAGGAATCTTCCTCTGGGAATTCAACTGGGAAGTTTAACTTAATGATAATCACAGCATCTCATACAGATCAGCTTCCTTTAAAAATGGTAATTCATTGACTAGCTGGGGATTAGGTAAGGAAAACTAATCTCTGCTTGCTATTGGAAGCTGATTGACTTGTTTATCATTTATCCTTTTTCCTGCCTTTTTATTAGCCTCTACTGAAATATTTCACTGTGTTTGATTTTAGTTACATTGACAGTCTTAATCAACTCCAAGTCTTCTCTAATGTGAGTTCTCACAAAAATGTGATGTTTAAACATTTGGAACAAATTATACACTGATGAAAAGGGTTTCAAAATAAAATTGCACAAATATTTTATCTATTTATTCATTGAATTGATCAATTATTCTGAGAAAATATCTGAGGTGCATTAAAGCATTAAATTTAAAATGTTTTATAAATGTTGATTCCCTTTGTGAAAGCCTAAATGTTCCATTTCACTCATAAAACTTTCCTTTTCCATATTAGATTGAAGAGTTTTTCCAAAATATGAATGTATTATTTCTAAGGTTTAAAGCATTAAAATGCAATATATAAAATAAATATATTGACACAGTATTTCCACTGAACATTTTAGCAGCTGTCTTCATCATCTCCAGTCATCAGAAAGTCTGTGCATCTCCAATCATTGAGGGAGTCAGTGTATCTGACACTTCTTCATCTCAATTCTAGACCTACAAGCTCGCTTAGGTTAACTGAGGTTAATTTTATTTGTTTTCATAATAATTTTCTTTTTTAATTTTAATTTTTTGAGATTATAATACAATTATGTCATTTCCTTTCCCTTTTCTCTCTCTAAACCTTCCTGTGTATGCTCCTCTGCCCTCTTTCAAATTTATGGCCTCTTTTATCCACACACACACAGACACACACACACACACACACACATAAATATCTTAAATACATAAATACAACCTGCATTGTCTGCATAATGTTACTTACATGTCCATGTTTTCAGGACTGACCTGATATTGCATAACTAATTGAAATACTCTCCCCTGGGGAACACTACTATTCCAAATCTCAGCATTCTGTAGTTGCCTACAATTCTTTGTCTATGATTGAGTCCTCATGAACCTTCCACTTTCCAAATGATAATGGCTCTTTGTGTCATCCTTGTTCAAAGTATGTTTAGGCAGCCTGCCATGTTGGTGAGACTCCATGGGTATGGCTTCTGACATTTCTCAGTCTTAGGAGCAAACTGCCTATTCTTCTGGATCTTCCTATCTTTCCTTCCCATCTTCTGTAATAATCTCTGAGTCTTAGTTGCCTGGCTTGGTTTGTAGATAGATCAGTTAGGATTTGGCACCTAACTGTATTTTTTATTAATTGTGATTTTCTGTAATGGTCTCTGTTTACTGCAAATAGAAGATTTCTTGCCAAGGGGTAAGAGCTATGTTTATCTGTGGATATAAGGACAATTATTTAGAGTGTAGTTAGGGGCAGTGCTGGCTTACTAAAGTTGTGGTTGTAGGTTCTCCACTAAGATCCGTGATTACACAAGCCCTAGGTAGTGAAACGGGTTTTCAATAACAGGCATGGTTTCCCTCTGTTGATCAGGTCTGTAAATTTCCAGTAAGATTAATGTGACACTTTAAGTAACAACAATTTTCAAGTTGTTTTTTAAATGATTAGTACTAGCATAAACACATGCTATATTCTAGTAAGAGCAAGACTCAGAAAAATTAAGAACTTTTCCTAAGTTGGCAGTTTGTTAGTCCATAGCAGAATCCAGAATGAGATGGTTGATACCTAAATCCTTAATAAATATAAACACATACAAAACCATAAAAATACTCAAGCATAGGATTTAGATTGACAACATTTTCCCACAACAAAAATCCTGGGAATATTCTTATAAAATTATAGAAAGTCCACTTAAATAGACGTGTATTATATATACATATCATAGATACATGATACACATATGCGTTATATGTTATTAATCAGTGCTAGGGATCAAGAAAAAAAATTACTAAGGTACATTGCAAGCCCAAGAAATTATATCATCTCAGTCAGAATGAGGAGTAGTTAATGATAATATTTGTGAGTAAAATTTTAATCTTATAATTTTCTAAACTATAAATTTATAGTTTAGATAAAACAGTAAAACCTGTAGCAAATGGAATTGTTTATGAAGACAAGCACAGAGTTTCAGAAATCCTTTTCAACAATAGTTTGGAAGATGAACTCAATAAATGCCATAGCTTTTCTGATATGAAGAGAACTATGGAGCTTGTTTGTAAATCAACCTCTTTGTCTTGAGATGAGAAAGCCATCAAGATCATCATGCAGCAGAGGGTAATTTTCTGCAGACTGAGAACTGACCTAAGAGACACTGTAGTTAAGAACGTTGACCAAACACAACTCATTTATATCAATAGGACACTGCAAATGTGTGTCTGTGTGTGTGTGAATATATGTGCATGTGTGTGTTATAACAATGGAAAGGCACATACAATTATGGAAGAAGAATCGTTTGTTGACTTATGCTTTAATTTAAAATCTTCAAGGTTCATTTGTGTGATAAACAAGCCAACTTTAACATCTCCTGGCTGTTTTCAGGAAACAAGCATACCACTAGATTGTATTGTATTATGTATCCAGCCACTTTTATTTAGCAAATGCCTTGACTCGTCTCACTCATAGACTGCAGTGTACTGCTTCAATATTCTGGGGCTTCCAAATCAGAGAAAATCTTAATAACTTGTGATTTTGGAAAAAAACAAACAGACTGAGTCTAGTGAGTGTGTGTGTACATCTGCATGGGTGTGCAGTACTA